TGTCTTGACATCATGGTGTTGAGAACTTAGGTTCTCTATTTTTTGTTGCAGCTGTGTTAGTAGCTCAACTAACTACTAATAGTGTCTCTGATTTTTGTGCTCCTAATCTTGCTAATGTGTTTTTCGCTGTTGTACCTATGATGTGTGTGTTTATTTTATTTTCAAATATATTTTATGGTGTTTTTTTTGTGTGCAAGCGTTATTTGGTTGTTTTAGCCAAAATGTGCCAAATGGGAGATTGTTATTTTTTAGAAAATATAATTGGCATGCATTTTGGTAAAACCAACTTGACAACAACATGTTGAATATGATGTTCCAACTTGTAGTTTTCAACATGTCGAATAAGATGTCCTAGCCAGGAGGATAGGATATCGTGTCTAGAATAGCTGGCAGGTATGTTTCAGTTGATATGTTAGTTACTGAATAATCATGGAATATTTAGTTAGCTTATATGGCATCCAAGATTGGAAAGTCAGAGATTATATGTTGGTTTTCAAAGATATACAAAGTGTTGTACCCCAAAATTTGCCCTCTCTTTTCTCAAGACATTTCTCACAAGATCTTCAATTGCTCAAGTTTGCAAAGTGTTGACTAGGTCAAACCACCTCCTAAACATAGATGCCTTAAATTAGGATTTTTATTTTCACAAATACAAATGGACTTTTAATGCCTCAAGTGACTTTCATGGATCATTATAGACCTCCAAGAATACTCATGTCAAGTTTCAAGTCTTGAATCACAATTTTGCTCAGTCAATTGATCAGATGACTGGAAAATCAACTATATTGGTTAAAAAGTCAATTATGGTCAACTTACAGTCAAACTTTAAGATGTTTGACCAATATCAACAATTTGATGTCATATTCATCAATTGATCAAGTTTGGATCATAATTCCTCAAGAAAGGTGTGCAAATTATCAAAAGGGCAAAATGGTCAAAATTAGGATTTTTGACTAGAATGACTGATTGTTGACTTTTGAGCTAATACATGACTTATTGGTTTGAAACATGACCCCCAAGGATTCAATTACATCATTTTTACCTAATTGCATGATTCAATTCATCCCTCAAAATCAAACAATTGATAGATGAAATTTGGCCAACTGCTAAAAAGTCAACTGATATACCAAGAGTCAAACTTTGACGTTTTGGTCAAATTTGAGTCTAAAAGATCAAAATTCATCAAGACATTCAAAAATATGAAGCTTTATCATCAAGAAATCAATAAATTCAAAAGTCAATTTGAAAAGTCAAACTTTTCAAGACTTAGAAATTTTTCTAAGTGTTTTTGTACATGATAATTTCACTACTTCATGCCAAATTTTCATCAAGATACAAGATGGTTCAAAGAAAACTTTCAACATGAAATTTTTAGATCTTGATGAAATCTACAACTTTGTTTTAGAGGGCTCATATCCAAAAAATGCTTAGATTTTTAGTTATAGGCCCATGAAGTCATGCACTTTTTCTTAAACACTTAGTGAAATTTTGACCTAGTTTAGGCAGATTTTTGGTCCCAACTTCTTGGCCATTTTTCACATAGCTCCAATTTTATCTAGCAAAAATGGAAAACATGAAGGTTGTAGACAATGTTTCAAGCTTTCTAAAATGTCCAAGAACTTTAAAAGATCATGTTTGAGCAAGAGAATCAAAGAGAAGAAGTTGAGGTTTCATTCTTGATTTTTAGGTCATTTTGATGATGAACATTCAACCAAATCTCAAACCTATACTGCGTAATCTCATTTTGCAGGCTTCTAACTTGTATTTCACTCCATAATTAAATGTTTACATTATTTTTAGAGCTTTTATCCAGTCATTTAAGCCATTATCCAAGTGATTAATCCATTTTAGGAAGAAAGGTACCACTTCCATTTTGGAAAAGCAAGCTTTATTGCAAAAAGTCAATGCATTGAGCCTCTAACTTATTTCTTCTGCACAAGCTTCATTTATAAAGTCAAAGCAAGCATGCTTAAATCCCTCAACTAATCTACAAACCCTTGTACTATACATTGGGACAATATGTATCAAGCTTGCTTCAAAAACAAGCCAAAGAGCCATAACATGTGTTCTTGGTTTTCTGATCATTTCAAGTTTCTAAACCCTCTCCTATAAATTGAGCCATCATCTACAAGCCAAGGACACGATTCAACAAGCCTGAAAACTCCCTCAAACTCAGAATTGCTCTCAAACCTCACTTTTGTGCTATTTATGATTTTTGATAGCCATCTCACAAACCACTCGTGCGTTTTCCATTCTTTTCATTCACCAAGCTTCTATAACACATATACAAGTCATCCCAATACCTGTTACACTTATGTAACTCTATCTTCATCATCCTCCATTTTCAAAAACAGAAGCTTGCATCTTGACTTTTCCAACATGATTCAGCCACTCTCAATCCAAAGTAACTATTGGAATAGCTTCCTGGAGGTTCAAGGAAGCTAACCAGATCATTACAACACCTTGAAGTGAGCTCTAGCTCAAAACACGATATCCACTCACAAGGTAAGTTTTCTGAACTTCCAACTCTTCATACAAGCATCATTTGATTCTGATTTGTGAAGATAAAATGTAGATATCATAGCCCTAAAACTGACCATGTCCTTAGAATTCATTTATATTGCCTGAGTAGTGTGAATTTTAGTTTTGAACTTTCTGAAATATTTAAGTCAAAATTTGGTACCAATATAATTCGCGTTCATCTTTGAGAGTTAGATTAATTTGTTTACATATTTGAAATCATGGTGAAATTTCTAACAAGTTTGATGTTTACACTTTTGAGAATGGTTGAGAAATGAGCAAGATATAAAATTTGAAAATCTTGTCCATGGATGCTGGCGCGAGGAAGAAGAAGACAATGTGTTCAAGACTTATTTTAAAACATAATATGTTGGTTGTGCATAAATGAACTGATGTATAGCCACCCCAGTAGTAGAGAGCGCGCGCGTAAGGCATGCCTATAAAAGGTCTTGGGTTCGAGTCCTAGCGAGATCTTTTGTCATTTTTACAACATTTTCCTTATTTCTTTTTGTTCAAAAACGCGCCTCGGCCATCCAGATATTGGGCCTTTCTTTTTTTCTTTCTCCCACCCTCCATTTTATTTTTACCACGCAGCCCAACATTTTATTTTATTTTGGTTTTATTTATGATTACAAAAAGGCTGTTTGGGCCCAAAACAAAAACTTTTTTACTATCAACCTCCCTCACTACTTTTCAAATCTCCTGACCCTTAATTTATATTTTATATTTTATTTTATTTTATTTTCTTTTAAATATTATTATTATTATTATTATTCTTTTTTATTATTTAAATTAAAAAATACAAAAATATATTTTTTATTAAATACTTAGACTAAAATTATTATTTTTTATTTTCACTTTAGTTTTATTTCCTTTTAATAAAAAGACCAAACAATATTTTCTTAGTAAATTAATTTCTTTTCTTTATTAATTTAGACTTAGGTTTTAACTTTCTCTTAATTAAATTATTTTAATTTAGACATTAGAATTATTATTAATTTTTTTTCAATTTGATTAATTAGGTTAAAACATTTTTCATACAAAAAAACATAAAAAAACATTTTTCTTTTTACATTATCTTTATATTCTTATATATTTTATTTGACATTATTCAATATGGTTGTAATAGTGATTAGGTTTTAATTGCTTTCATCCCCATTTGTAATTTGTACCCCATCCCCTAAAGTATTGTAATAGCGTAGGACTTTAAATTTCCGCAATTGTTTTCCATATTATTGCTAGTAATTAGGGTTTGTATGGCAAGACGTAAAATCAACAAGTAGACAACCCTAATTCAAGACAAATGCATGAAAACAATACACTTTGCACACTTGCACCTCTAGGGTTAACCCACACTTGTTGCCTTAGAATAAAACAGTCATGTCCCTCAAACGTGGGATACTTTAGCAAAGACCCTCGATTACAAGATCGTGGTCTCTCGATAACCCTTCGATGTTGCCTTCGGTGAACGATCTTAGACCCTTACGACAAAATTGCTAAGGTATCCTACAATGTTGCCTTCTATGACTGTACGATGACCCACGTCCCTTCCTTCACATCCAATGATAAGGTTTCTTACTAACTAATGGTAAGATAACACTATCTAAAGGAGGAGGAAAAGAACAAGGACTTCCTTTTGAGTAGGTAGAACGCTCGTAGTTGCTTGCTCACAAACATTCCAAAACAAAACATCTTTCAAACACACCAACACTTTTTCCATGAAATATTTTCAAAAGTCAACACTTTGTATACATTCTTATAGAGACGAAAATCATTACAAAGTTCGTCTAAACAAAGGCACTTTTCAAAAATACTTTCAAACAAACACAAACATCTTCACCAAAGCATTTCAAAGTGAGCTAGCAACTAAGAGCCCATAGATAACTATGGATGAAACGGGTATTAACACCTTCCCTTTTCATAACCTACCCCCGAACTCATGAAAAATCTCAAAAGGTCTTTCATGTTCTTTTCACCCTTTCCTTTGTTAGATAAAAGAAAAGTCGATGGAGACTCTTGCTATCCGCAACAATTGCGATCAAACGCAAAACACCTAAGTCAGTTCTCTCACCGTATTACACAAAGTTTCTAAATATGGAGACATTTTAGGAAACTGATGATTGAAGACCTAGTTTTTAGAAGATTTTGCAGACTTTGTGCAGCCTCACTGTTGTATTTTTGAAGCCCAACTCATTCCAGAATAATATTATAATTAAACGGGAGTATATTTAGTTTTAGGTGAAACTTACGTGTGTTTTGTTAGGATTTTTAGAATCCTTATTGTTGGGTTGTAAGTTCTGTCAGATGTTTATAAGCTTTTAAGCATTGAACATTTGTGCGTCAGATGCTCATAAGTTGTTAAGCATCGAGTATTTGTGTGTCAATTCCCATAAGATTTTAAGCATTGAGGATTGTGTGTCTTGGAAGAGTGACTTCCTATTTTTATTCACTATTATGTTTAAAGTTGTTCAAATCGTTGAATGCGGTTGAAGAGGGATTTGAGGAAGGCCTTATACCTAGGTGTGTCTTAGGTAGAAGTTAAGGAAGGGGTAGTGATTAAGTGCGTATATTATAAACGGGTGTGTTTATTGTGTGGTCTACAAATTGATAGTATCTAGTTAATTTCATCCCTGGCTTTGTAACCCCTAGAGTAGAGGAGTTGCTCCGAACTGGATAAACATATTTGTGTGTTATTTATCTTTAGCACTGTTTATTTTGTTTATACATCTTGTTGTTGCGTGTTGAAGTCGGATCCGGTGTTCGACATCTCTTAGAACATCCGAGATCTGACAATCAGAATTTCACATTATCTTTGGCATATGTATTTCCTTTTCTTCTTTTTTACACTTTTTGTATCTTTGCATGACTATCTTCTATATTATCCTCAAGGCATCTTACACCTTAATTATCCTCTTCTCTTTTTAAAATTGGAGCCCAAGCACGAAGAAAACAATCAAAAGCAAAATCCTAAAGAATAAAGGCTCATTAGGCTCTATTTATGAAAATATTTTTCAAGTATTTTATCAAACCCATTGAACTTTCTCTATAAAAACGGCCCATCTGCGCTTATACTCACACAAAACCCTCCTTAAACTAACTCCTCACCGCTAACATCAAATGTTCATTCTTTAATTCCCAAAGCCGACGACATAAGAGACAATTATTTTGAATCTGACCTAAGGCTAGTCCATTGTTTCAATGGATCTTTGACTAATCTTTGTCCTTGACGGTCAACTCACATTTTGGACAAAGCAATGGATCCATAACATGTGACAATATCTAAGAACCATAAATTATCATAATTCTCCTCAAAACTCCGATCTTCTTGAAAAAATAATCTAAAAATTTTAATCAATAAAAAATACATCAATTTGCTTATCACAATCCAAAAATGACTCGTCTAAATCCAATGATGTAATTTAACTTAAACCAATTTTCTATTCAACAACTACTTTTATATTCTTTAAACAATATCTTAAACATATTTGTAGAATTTTTCATAAACAAATTAAAGAGATAAAAAAATAAAAAGTGATCTAAACAAAAAATAATTGATTTTCTTATTCTTATAATTGTGCAATTTGTCAACCTCACGGGCACCATCCCTCTTCACGCGTGCTCTAATCGAACGGTCACTATCACGCCCGCGATAAACGGAAGTGCATTTCCAAGAACAATGTGGATCCAATCCAACGGCTCAGATCATCCATCTCTAACCCATCCCATCAGGCCTTCATATCTTGAAAGAGAAATCGCTCCCAATCTCAAAACTCTTTTCCGTAAAAAAACTTCTACACATTTTCATCTCAACAAAACCCTTCTCTGATCCATTCCCAATTTTCTCTCACTCACGTCCTTTTCATCTTCTTCACAAATCCCAGGTCTGGCTTTCTCACTCTGACCCGTTCTCTCCAGTTTTTTTCTTTTAAATCTATATCGATTTTGAAAAACAATTTTTTTTTTAGTAATTTTAGATAAAGTTATTATTTTCGTTGTTTTTTTCTTGAAATTTACTATCTGATTTGGTACTGTATCTGGTTTTGATTCAAAGTTTGGAACTTATACTGTAGTTGTGAGTAAAATTTGATTTTAGGTTATGGGTATCAAAGTTGAATTGTAGTTGACTGTAAAATCTGATTTTAGCTTGTGGGTATGAAAGTTGAATAGTAGATTGTTCTTGGGATTAGATTTAGGTTTTATTATGTGTTTATGTAAATGCTCTATTAAATTTGACCTGGGTTAAAAACTGTTTTTTTTTTCACTCTTAAATTTATTTTGATTTGAGAGCTAGATTGGAGTGAAGTACTTTTTACTTCGGTTCTCTGTTATGTATAGTTGATTTTGTATTATTAATAGAATCCTAATTTTGATTTTGATAATTTCAGGTTAGAGCTTTGGGTTTATCTTTTCTGATATTTTGAAGTTGAGCTATATCAAGATGCCGTGGTTTTCCCTATTCAAGAGAAGTTGTGTTTGCTTGGTGGTGTTTTTTCGCGTCATTCTGTAATTTAATCATCTGAGGTGAAGATTTTGTCCCGCTATAGAATTGGATTTATAACTTTTTCTGTTGCTTGCCGTGGAAAGCAAAAATTATTAAGTCAGTATATTTGTTTTGGATTGATTGGGAGTATCATGTAGCTCTTGTTGCATAAACATAGAAACTATACACTAACTATTATAGCTACGTTAGTTTTGATACATATGAACATTTTATGCTGTACATTGCTTATTATTTTCTCTGATCTGATGATCTTTTCATCCTTTCTTGTTGCTACAGGTGATTAGGCTGCAGAGGAACTCCTCTGATTAGTGTTTTTTCCTTTTTATTACCAAAATTACTGCAAGGGTTGAGAATGTTCTTTGCGAAAGTTGACTACATTAAAATGAGTGTTGGAGTTATTGCATACAGTCAATTAATGTTAGTTTGTCAGGTAAATGTTTCTTCCTTTTTTGGGTTGCTATGGAGAGAGATTTGGGATTTAAACATCGATGGAATTTTATATATTTCCTCTGATGTTGCCTGAAAGTTGTTGTCACTTTTTTATCTGAATTATTTACCTTATATATCATACCGCTTTGTTTTGCAGGCTGAATATTTTCGTCAGTTGCTTAAACCTGTTACGTAGTCTAGCTTCAAGGAACGTTTATTTGCATAGAGATTGCCTTATATTGAACTGCATCATTAGAAGGCTGTCGGATAAGACAAAGTTTTAATTTTGTAAAAGTTGCCATTAGTTTTTAGATGGAATTGGAATAAACTTACTACCTGCTGTTAAGTTGTTACATCTCTGTAGGAACGAACATCCATCTAGCTTTAGAAAAAATAATTTTCAATTGCATAGGCCAAATCAGCATTGATTCCGCGTTATTTAGTGAGGGTGAAAAGATATTATAATGCAGACTCACGAGTATTTCCATCGGGGAAAGATGGTACTTCCTTTGGCAGAAGAAGCCATTGGTAGTTATATGAATGCTCCACCCCATACTTCTGCATTCAGTCCAGTTTTACCTCCAGGTGCGAGGCAGATAATGCCCTTTGAAAGGTTTAACTTGCATCCCTCTAAGGTTTGCCCCGAGAATTTTGTTGTCTTGGATCAAACAGATCAACAAAACAGGGTTTTGTTCAACCCTGCGATGACCTACAAGTTTAACAGTCCTGGCTTCAACTTCAACACTCATGCATATACACAAGATTTTGAAAAAGACAAAATTAATCAAATGGAAAGGGAATTGTCATCTTCTTTTGAAGAGGACTCGAAGGACATTGATGCGTTGATGAGCCTAGACTCAGATGAGCTAGAAGATTATGATGAAGAAGAAGTTAGCACCGCAAGGACTCATGAAAAGGATGAAAGTACATCTGATACTTGCTCGAGCTATTGCATGAAATCAAGGAAGAAGAGATTGTTATCATCTTCTGTACAAACATCAGGCACCAAAGGTTACTGCAGCAGCAGTGAAAAGAAACAACACCTTGAGATGAAGAGGATGGTGAAAATATTGAGAAATATTGTGCCTGGCGGAGGCAACGAAATGGATACCGTCACCGTTTTGGACGAAGCTGTAAAATACCTCAAGTCTCTCAAGGTTGAAGTGGAGCAATTCGGAGTTGAACAATGAAAATGTTAGTTGGACAATGCACTGCAGTTGAACTCTATTTGCTGACCTTCATTGTTACGATTCAAGGGAAGAGGGAAGATGCCTTGCAACTTAATAAATCAATCTGACATTTTACTTATTCTGGTAATGTAAGAAAATAATGTAATAATTGTAGTTATACTTGGTGTTTGACACTTGTGTTTGTTTATTTGTTTTCTGTAATGAATTGTTGGGATTGACTCTTCTTTCCTAAAAATTATGTTTGTTATGCATGTTATATTGTGAATGTACATTGATAATTTATTTCTCCCATATGCTTCTACATGTTTTCTTAATACTCTAGCACCTTGGATACGTATTTGCATGATGCTGTTACACATGATTTTTGTGCATGCTTTATGTAACAAGGGCTGTTTGAATCTCTGAAGTCAAGATTTTCTCTATAATTGTTCTGGTCAGCCTTCATTGAAATGTACAAAAGTTGTTTTAAGTGACACAGATAACTGTCGAGTATACATTAATGTGCCCCACTGGCTCCCAATATTGTAGTTAGTGGCGCACCATTGAACCTTTTTATTTTCAGTGGCGTTCTAACTTTATGCTAGCTTAGGCCCCACGGTGTTCAAAGTTCCATCTCGTTAACATAAAGTACTCCTATCTTTGGTGCCCTGAAATGAATGCTAAACTTTGCTAATATTTTTTTCTTTCCTTTTCTTCTCTTTTGTCCGGGTGCATGAAAACATTAGATAAAATTTCAGTTTAGTTAAACAAAAATCAAATAGTCAATTTAGTTCTTAAGACCAATAATTAGAGACCAAGAAACTCAACTAATTTGATTTTACAATTTCAGTAACTATGTGCAAATATCTATCAGTTTGACCAATATTAGTTGACTCATTAATTGTATTTGATTTATATGCGTTATATTTATTTATGAAGCAAGAAATGTCTCCCACTTTTAAGTATTACTCCACTTTTATTTATAAGAAAAAAAGACAACTTTCATGTTTATTAAAAATAATACTTAAATACGTTTAATTTTTTGATTTTATTTAAAAGAGATAACACAATTACTAATATATTTTTAATTAAATTGTCATCTATTAATAATATTAAGTAATTAATGCAGAAAATTTTTTTTTCCGTTTGTAATTTTCAATAAGATGTCATCCAAACTCTAATAATAAGTTTTAATTGAATAGTTTTTTTTGTAAAATATAATGGGTCTCTTGTGTTTTTTTTAGTTTAAAAAACTTTCAAAAAAATTAAGTAAAGTTACAGATCTTAAAAAAGTAATATAAAAACAAAAAATAGGAAGTTGTTTTAAGCAACTTATGAAAAATTGATATTTAATTAAAAAACATTGAGAAATTATTTTTTCAGTTATAAATATTTATACATTTCATAAAAACCTAAAAAAAATAACATTTAAATTATAGAATGTCAAATTTTTTATTTATATTTTAGCAAACGGATCCTTCATTAATATCGTATCAGATTTTAACTTCATTTTTTTTTAAATACCGTAAGTACCAATCGATCAAGTCATGTCATATGGGTAGAAACAAGATCCTCTGATATTGATTCAGTTTGCAAGCAGGTACAAGATCCTCTGATATTGATTCAGTTTGCAAGCAGGTTGGAAGAACATGCTCGCGGGGCAACATTTATATGTGCAGGCAAGTGTTTTTGATTCCAAACAACAACTGCTTCCCAAAACTTGTATAGCTCTAAACAAATTTTCTTATATCAAATTGCAGCTATTTACAGTTAGATTTTAAACGCAAGTACATTGGGATTGGAAAGTGCTTGCATCCACCGTCATCATTTTCTCTTTTTTTTGTCGCTTTAAGGTTCAAAATATTCCCAAGAAACTCCAATTAGCTGTGCCCGAAATCTGGCGGAAGTAGAAGATATACATGCAGAGGTCAACTTATATAGGACTAGCTCTTGATATCTGCAAAAACGACAGCATTTATGTCACTACACAATTCTTTATGTAGGTTAATCTGCAGCAAAGTTTAAAACACAACAACAAGTAGAAAATAAAAGACATGCCTGACTTAAACTAACTCTAAGGAAACTAGTTCCAAGAGTGGATGAAAGGGTACAAGATGTGATCTAAAGATAAAGAATGGCACCAATAAAAACCGTTGTAAGACAAAAGCATAACTAGATGTATTATTTCTGTATATGCTCAATTGACATTCAACTTCACCTTGTGACTCGTGTGACGACACTTGTCAGAAACAATGATGAATTTGAATCTTAAAGCCTCAACCGTCAAGAGCAATCCATGTAAAAAATTATTTTTCTACTGATAAAAGACAAGATAAGGAAAAAAAGAAATTCAGAATCAACTGAATACTGCAAAGCTAATTTAACCAAAGAACAGGATGCATGATATAGGGACCTGATTCTGCGTGCTTGTTGCAGTAGTCCAGCTCTGAGGATGATGAACATCAACTGAACTATTTGCAACAAAAGCTATTATACTTGATTCTTCTAGTGATCCAGTATCTTCTGCAGGTGGTAACTCTCTCATTACCCATAGCACCACTGCTGAGGGTATTGATGAACCTGGAAATAATGCCAGCTTCAGAGTAAGGTGGTTAAACTATTTCAAAAAGCAAGCAATATGCAATTGAATCGTCAACAAAATATTTTAAGCAGCAGGACAACTACAACTTTTTCAAAAGACAGTCATTACTCTCGTTACTCGTAAAAGGAAAGAACAAAAGATTCCAGCAACTGAACTATGCGACAACAATAACTATATTGTTAACAGCACATACCAACAAAAAAATACAAAATCAGCAGAAGAGAGGAATAAACATCATCCATGAGCTGCTGATGCCAGTGAAACATCATCTACAATAATAATAAAATAATAATGTGAAGGCTAGTTCAGGAAATTTTAACAGTTTTATCAAGAATAGGAAAAAAAACTCTTGCAAGCAGTTAACTTATACGTACAGGAATGTCCGTAAAAAGTTCTACACAGGAACTTGATGTGAAGCATAGTACAGAGACTATAGTTAAACCTGCAACCTGATAAAATAGAATACTTTCAATAATTTATACACAGGCACAAGCCTGTGCCACTGTCTCTATAGACGAACAGTTATTTAAAATAAGCATCTAAAGTATGCATCAGATATAAATATAGATAAAGTGCAGGCAGCCACGAGGGGCTCCCGGCAGCAAGAAAATCTCATGCCCTTAAAAATAAAAAAAGTTCAAACAGAAATCTAGTACCTTCCCCATTTCAGATGAAGGTTTCTCAGCTCTCACTTTTCTCATCTTCAAGCATAATAGGATTCCTGCAAAGGAACCACACCGCAAAAATCATTATGAAAAACTATGTCTAAAAAACCAGGCATCTCACTACTCAATACTCACTAGCGATTAACATTACAACCAATAAAAATTATTGACTTGCATCTATTTAAATTATAAATCCATCCAAATCTTGTCATGTAACCATTCAATAATTCCTCCTATAAACTCACTATGTTCAGTGTCTCCCTTTTATAATTACACACCACCTAGAACTAAATAGATGTAAATAATTACATAATTACTACTCACAGCAGTAACGCCTCTTAACTAGCAGTCACAATCCCATAAACTATCTGCCTCATAATTGGCAGTAATTTTCCCACAAATATAATCAATTTTGCCCTTTCATCTTATACACATTTTCAATAAGAGGTCTAACAGTATCATTATCATGTTGCTCACGTAACATTATCCTAAAATGATTACTATTCTAGAGAATAAACATTTATTTTGTTAAGAACAGAGTACTAGCTCAGTGTATCCTACCCCCCTATGTAATCTTTTTGTCTCATTATTTGTCCCTTTAGCTGCATTTATTAATTTTCCCACTAATATACCCTTATTTATTTATTTATTTATTGTATTTCAACATAACTAACTGCTACACTAACTATAACTAATAAAGGTATTTTATTATATGAATCTCAATTTATCATTGTAATCAACACAAGTAATCAATATTTAAAAAATGTGCAAAACTCAAGGGGAAACTTAAAATGAGACGGAGTGAGTACCAAATAAGCAATCTCTTTTTCACAACTTTTGTTCATATTGCTGTTTTGATAAACAAGGAAAGATGACTAAATTATAACAGCAGAATATGAGAATGCATGATGTTCATATCCCACGTGTATTGTGCATAATCTAAAATTCATCTGATTTGGAGTCCGTTTGTTACAGCTCATTTTGTAACAAATTACTTTTGTATAAAAATAATCACCTTTGAAAGTTTTCATCTGTTTGTTACAAATTCTTCAAAAAATTAGAATCTGAAAATAATTTAAAATCTGCTTCACATGAAAAGTTGCTTTGAATACCTTCTCTTAAAAATCATTTTTTACATCTAAGTAATTTAAAAAATGTGATTTTCATTTTGATAAACAAACACAAGCTTTTTATAAATAAAACTCTAAAAACTAATCCCTAAATTGTTGAGCATCAAAATCACTTTTTTTTAATCCTTAACAGGCCCTTAACATTAACCGTGATAATCAGCTGAAATATAGAGGTTCATGAATTGATTAAGGCTCATGCATTTACATAAAAACACACAAATTACTAAACCCTCTCAAGGAAGAGAAGACAATCAACTTCTGACCTACTTAACTTAAAATGGAAAACAACTAGAATAACAGTTGCTCACCATAACATGCCAGCGCTCCTCCTAAGAAAAGCATTCCAACAGCAGACACATCCAGGTATACCTACATGAGATCTTTAGTCTATCAAAACATGCATGAAAAGATTGTTGGGAGACTAAGAAAACATCCATGGTTCATCAAAACTTGGCATCTGATCACAAAAAAAAAAACTATGGCATCTAATCACAAAAAAAAACTATGGCATTTAAGCTTTATCATATTAATTCACCCTCACCCAAACAACCTATACAAGAGTTCTTCATACTCTTTTCAATAAGAAAATTAAAAGAACCCCCAAATATTTCTATTTAAAGCCAG